AAAGGGGGGGGGGGAAATGGGATCAGCGAAGGCTGGTTCGCCCTCCAAAGTCACATCTGAAAGTACAGACCAAGGAGGAAGCCGTCTTGGCAAAGAGCTGAGAACATCTAAAGTAGAAAGTGAGAGAGTGCAAAAGGATGTTGGAAATATCTCAACCAGAGACTCTGAGTAAGTTAAAATATCTGTTCATGTAAGGAAAATCTCCATGGACCCAAATAACTACATAGAAAAGAGACAGAGAGTCCTCAAAATGGACTTTACCTTTTTAAAATCTTATGGTAGAAGCGAGCCTTCCCCCCCCCCCCCCCAAGTTTGGATGAGAAGAAGAGGGGAGAAGAGAGAAAGGGGAAAGGGGGAGAAAACTACCTCATCACGAAAGGAGATCAACCTAAAATAAAAGCATCACTCCCGTTACTATCTGAAATACTATAAAATATTATTTACTTCAAAGCATTATGGATCCTTTAAATTTTTGTTGTTGTGACTTGGTAACTATGAGAATGTTTAACTCTGAGGGAAGGTCCACACACCCCTTGGATCAGACATGTAAATAAGACGAGAAAAGAAAAGTAAGGTTACAGCAACATATCTTGACAGAAGACTTAAACAGGACCCCTTAAAGAAAAAGAAAACAGGTAATGACAGAAGACTTAAACAGCATCCCTTATTTACTTAACTTAAGAAGAAGGGGGGAATCAATATGGCAACAAAAGGTGGGAAAGAGAGAACTTAAAAGAGTCTCACTGGCACAGGAACAGAATCTCAGTGGGATATTGGGGCAAGAGTCATTTAAGGATTAGCAACAGAGTATTCAAAGTAAGTTATTAATGGAGCTACAGCAACTAACTACAAGGAGGGATGGCTCAGCTATGTATACAAATGAAAGATTTAGGGATGCAAATGACTGATATTAAAAATCAAATTACAGAAAATAAAAAACCAAATAGTCAGAATAGATGGGACATCAAAAAGAACGGAAGAAAGACTGGAGACCTTGAATGCAGAGATGGGAGAGCTAAAACAGGAAAGAAAACAAGATGAAACTACTCTGTTAAATCTACAAATGGAAAGAGACAATGCCATACTTAGATTCCAGAATCTACCAGAACAAAAAATGAGAAGACACAGCACAAGTGATTACTACTTATTTACCATGGCTCATGGAGATGTGACCAGAAGATGTTCAACAAAATATAGACACAGCACGAAGAATTAATACAGCATATACCAGGTACGTTGGGACGTGGTGGCGCTGCGGGCTAAACCGCAGAAGCCTGTGCTGCAGGGTCAGAAGACCAAGCAGTCGTAAGATCGAATCTACGCGACCGAGTGAGTGCCCGTCGCTTGTCCCAGCTCCCGCCAACCTAGCAGTTTGAAAGCATGCAAATGCAAGTAGATAAATAGGGACCACCTCGGTGGGAAGGTAACAGCGTTCTGTGTCTAAGTTGCACTGGCCATGTGACCACGGAAGATTGTCTTCGGACAAACACTGGCTCTATGGCTTGGAAATGGGGATGAGCACCGCCCCCTAGAGTCGAACATGACTGGACAAAAATTGTCATGGGGAACCTTTACCTTTACCTTTATACTAGGTATAAAAATCTCGCCAGAGAAATTCATGTTAAATTTATGAGAAAAATCTTTTGAGATAAAGTTCTAAGAAATATACAAGACAAAGAACTTAATAAAAAATATAAAGAGTTTAAGATCTTGAAGCATACTCGGTGGCAAATGAGACAGAAAATGAGACAATATGCTGAGTTGACATCCCTCGTGAGAACAAACTCAATTATGTATAAGAGGTTGGTGCCTAAAAGTGTCCTCTTTGAATTCCAGGAGCAGAGCTATTATATTAACTCAAAACTGAAGGCAGAAGATTTGATGAAAACAAAGGAGAAGTGACTGGGCAGAAAAAAGGAGAAAAAAGGAGATGAGAAACGAGAAGAGGAGAAATCAATTGGATCATCAGGATGAGAAGCTAAAAGAAGCTCAACAGAGCAAGCGAGACGCTCTAAAGTTAAGTGCACTATAGAAACAAGAGGATCCAGGAGGAGGAAAGAAAATCTCAACAATAAAAATGGCCTAAATTAATAAAATGGTTAAAGACTGTAGGATATAATGGGTATAAAATGGTAGAAGAATATTAATATTTAAAAATCAGTAACTATTAAGGAAAATGCACAGAAGATGTGTTATAGATTATATAGTGGTGCCTTGACTTATGAACTTAATCCGTTCCAGAAGATGGTTGTAACTCGAAATGGTCATAAGTCAAAGCACCATTTCCCACAGGAATGCACTGAAACGTGATTAATCG